GCAGCCTGGCTGGCAGTAAGGCAGGACCATAGAACCCAGAAGGGGAAGTCCATCTGGGGCCATGGCAGTGGAGCCAGGGAAATCCAGTTGGAGCAAGGGCAGGCCAGCAGCGCAGTCAGGGCTGCATGCCAGCCAGCAGTGGGACTGGTTCCACGGCAGCAGGACCAGGGCTGCGTGCTACCATGCCGGCAGTGGGGCTGGAACAGCAGTTATGGCAACAGAATCAGGACAGCCATGTTTCCAAGCCAGCAGCGGGGCCAAAGGAGCAGGTGGTGGGGAGGGCAGCAGGCTGGTGGTAGGGGACCTTCCCAGGTCTGGCAAATTCCCTCATTCAGGACTGCTCAGGTTCTGAGGGTGCTGGACCAGGGAGGTCCAACATGTATCAGTATAGCTGTGTCATATAATAAGCTATTTAGACTATGTTTACATATAGTCAATCACTGCCATCAACTAAAAGCAAAACTATAATGGTAGCAGAATGCTTATCTTCCACTACCGAGGGAGTGCCACTATTTTAGCCTTCCTTTGAATACAGCCAAGGAGAAATTGCCATATAAAGTGACCAGAAATTGTGTTCATGGTTAAAAGAAAAACTAACTCTAAAAATCCATAAGTTTTAAGCATAGATGACATATTGCCAAATTATGGAAGTCCCATGTTGCAAGGGATATCTTGTTCTGATGACACACGACAAAAATTATCCAATAACTTAGTGGTAGCTGCAGCAGTCAAACTTCTCTTTCGCTCTCCCTCCCAAAAATACGGACACTTTCTCTCCAAACAATGGAAGCAATGGGTTAACCTTTCTTACAATAGTTTCTATTTTACTTGGCACTGTATAACCTTTTGGAATGTCAATAATAAAAGAAAATAAGAGATGCAACTAACCCCAGTAAAATAATAAAAGAATAAGGGGGAATGTCAGGTCATCATTAATCATTTAGCACTCAAGTTACTGCCCCCATAGCTTGTGCAGCTGGCTGTTAGTTTGGCTTTCAATGACATAAGAAGTTGCTCTGTAGGGGACTGAAGAGGGGCCAACAGAAACAGAGTAGATGAAAAAGAAAATAAAAGAGGCCACCCCAGTTCCAGTTATTGAACAAAGGAATTACAATTTTCTATAAATGAGCGGAGTGAAATGGCTTCCTAACACTCCCCTACCAGATTTTTTTATTATTTCACATAATAGCAGGGCACTTAAGTAGTCATTTTCCCCGGGCACGCAGAACCAAAAAGATCAATAAAGTTCAGCTAGTTTTCGAGCCAGTATCTTTCACAAGTGATCCTAGCTATTTCTATCCAGCCCCTGTTACCACAGTATCTGAGCATCTCACAATCTTTAACACACTTATGCTTACATCATCTCTGTAATGTAGGAAAGTACCTTTAGCCCCATTTTACAGCTAGAGAACTAAGGCATGGAAGATATAAGTGAACTGCCGCAGACTTCTTGCGTGTCCTGAGGCAAAGCAGGGAATTGAACCAGGACTTCCAAATCGCAGACTAATATACTAATTGCTGAATCATCTTTCCTACATAAACATCACTCATAGCTATTAACTGAAAGGACTGATTGTGGGAGATGACCCAGTGAGAGAGTTTACCAACCATAACATGTCTCATTGGCCACAGGAGAGAAGTTATTCTGAGGAAACATGAGATGGAGCACGAAGGATTGCTTCACTAATAGAATACAACATATGTTTTGGCAGAGCAATTTACAAACTCCTTGTTTTCTTGTCATTTGAAAAGGAAAACTTCAGCTGAACTAAGCAAGAAAACCCTCTTAATGCTAGAACACTTCCTCCATTTCACCCTCATTTTCTCACAACTGTTACAAGATATAATTAGGATTTCCACAGATTAGTTTAATAAATCAAAGGGAATCCTTTCAGAATACTCAGTTTTAGTCCCCAAGTTTAAAACACTTAAAAGCTACCTGAGAGCATTGAATTCTGCACCTCAAGTTCTTGTTCAAAGCCCATTTCTGCAAGACCCATTTATAAACTGATCTTTTACCATTCTCAGTGAAACTTATTAAGCTATGAGATGCAGGCTCATATGAATTTCTCAGAAATTAAAGAACACATTATTATAGCTGCCAACTCCTGTTCAAGAACTCCTCAAGGGTCATCTCCCCTCTGAACCATGTTCTTAAATAGAACCAAATAAAAATAAAATGTATCTGATAATTGTAATCAGCACTGTCTGTCACTTAATCATGCCTACTAACGAGGAAAGGAAACTAAAATAAAGCATTTTAGGAAAAGCAGAAATTCAATAATGCATATTTAAGGTAAAAAACAAACTTGTCTATGAGCAGACTGAGATAAAGCCCAACTTTTAATATGACCTTTAATTTCCTTTGCTCTTTTTCTGTACAGCAGAAAATTACATACCATTGGTGACACTGAGCACTTTGTTCCCCTTTCTGTAGGGCTGCCTCTGCCTCTTCTTTCCCTGAAGACAGAAAGCACTGATTTAGCAAAATTGAAAATTACTGAATTTGTCTGAATACCTATATCCCAAAGTGCTAGGGTCTCTACAGTGAAGCTAAACATTTGTTAGTCACCTTACATATTTAGCTTGAGAATATGGATACATTCCAAAAAGATCTCCTGTATGGAGAACTCGCAGACACTTCTAAGGTCGTTGGGCTGACTGACCTAAGGTCAGGTTCAATGATGTTTGCAAGGGACACACTTTCAGCATCCACACTGCAAGATGAGAGGATGCAGCTACCAACAAGCTACACTGGCAGCTGGCATTGCAGCAGGGAGTAAAAGAAGTTGAAGAGAGGTGGCTAAGAGAGAAAAAACCAAAGAGCACAAAGAAGGATACTTTGGTACTTACACCATTGTCTGGTGAGATGGATAGCTACCCTTCCACTTATTACCAGCTGCGTATCTTGCCACAGTACTGGGCACCCACCACACAGAAAGCTCATACACACATACTAGCAAATACCCTTGATTGAAAGCAAATTTATACAAAATACTTGACAAAAATGGTCATCTGCATTCAGAACAGTTTAACTCACGTTAAAGGCTTTTTTGTAACAAGTGGTTCTCCAATGGGTTTTGTCCTGAAGGCTACTTCACAAGAAAAGTATTATTTTATGGAGCTCTCTCCTCTGTGCTTCATATGCTTTGGTTCCCAAAACATAGTAAAAACACGGAATGCCTCTCATTACTATAAATAACTTTCCCTTCAGGAACTCTCACCTTCTCATGTTTGTTGGAGGTGAGTCATATCCACTCTGATTTAATTAGCACTGATGTCATACTCCCATCTCTGTATCCCTTCCTTTTCTCTTTGCTCTTCTAGCATCTGAAGTAGTGAGTTGTATCTCACAAACGCTTATGCCCTAATAGATTTGATAGTCTTTAAATTGCCAGACTCTTTGATGTTTTTGCTGAAACAGACTAACATGGCTACGCCTCTGAAACCAAAACAAACTGCCTCAGAACTAGTGAATGAGAACCAGAATGAAAAGTAGTGAAACTGATAACTAAACAGGTAAACAAGAAACAAGTCAACAAGAACACTGTATTTTTATAATTTGTGTTAGTAACAGATACGGTTTTTTAAACGGTAACTTGTTTAAAAGACCTTATGTTTATCTAATAAAAACACTACACTGAACTGCCTCAAACACTTTCTTACCATCAGAAGCATATGATTTCTTTTCATCTACATCCTCTGTGATTTCATACAGATCACTGTATGCTCGAGCCAAGCGCCAAAGAAAATCTTGCTGGTCTCCATACTGCAGACAGAACATAAGTATTTCAGATCATCTGTTAGAAAGCCCCTTTCTTCCATTGGTACAAAGCCATAAGGAAGAGAACTGTCAATTGGCATAAATAACAGGAAATGCATTATATTATTCAAACAAGTATATGCACCTTTTATATAGTTAGTCAGAGTAAACATATTTGAAAAAACGCACATGGGCCCAAACCAACAAGAACTCTAGCAGAAGTTAAAAAAAAAAAAACAGATAAAAATGGAGGTCCAAATTTGTAGCTAAACCCACAATTCAAAAGAGATCAAAAGAGGTCTAATTTATTACATAACCTTAAATGGATTCTTCATACTTCACAGAAGATTTAGTAAGGATGAGAGGGGTGAGTATCGGAGCTACACATCTACTTGTTTGACTCCCTCTCACAAAACAGAATCAGAAGTTTTAAAAACTTCAGTTTTACTTATATATGCTGCTTGTTCACTGTTTGCATTTCAGTCAGTTTGACCACAGAAAGATTGGGCATTTTCATATTTTGGTTTCCACAAAACAGCCCTGAGGCTGTTCTGGCAGGATTGCTAATACTGCAGTGGCAAGGTTCAGACATAACACACAAACAAATGCATCTTCAGTACAATATAAAAAACCAACTCTTCATACTAGGTTTTGTTAAACCCTTTAAACAAAACAAAAACAAAAAACAGATACAAGTTTAAACTCTAAACTACCTGACAGCATCCATTTAAGTTATCTTATTTTGATATTATCTTAGGCTGTTAAGAAGTAGGAGAAAAATTTAAGAAGAGGGATATACTGGAGGACTAAATACATGTATGACTTTTGGGGCTTATAAAGAAATTTGCTCATGCTTCATGCTGATTAAGTCATTTGTTATCTCTCACCTTTGCCTCATCTTTCATATACTGAAGACACAGCAGACAAAATGTTCTGCTTTTTAAACAAGCACCTTTGTTTAAAAAAAAAAAAAAACTACGTAATTTCCTACACTGACTTTACAACACTGCAACTCTATAATTGAGTAAAGAGAGCAAGTTATGACACTGTTTTGATTTGTACTATAGACAAGATGCAAAAGGATAAGTTTATGAAAGCCAAGTCCTTGAATTGTTATGTACCAGCTACATGATACTTTTAAGCCAGGTTATGACCAGTTCATTGACTCCTCCACATTTGCAGCATGGAATAGGTCTTGCACAATGAAAATTAAAAGCCCAATGTCATCTTTCCGTGTTAGCCAAAACCACAGTTTTGCTGGGAAATAAAAATGAATTTTACCACCAATTTATTGTTAAGCAGCAGCTGGAATCCGTCTCTCTTCTCTTGGTTAGTCCCATGATGTAATTGGTCAGCCTGCTGCAGCAGCTGACCAAGTTCCTCTTCCACTGTAGAATCAAAGATCAAAACGGTTTCATCCTCATTGACTAGATCCAGTGAATCCCTCCGTGCAGTCTTCACTGTCTCACAGCTCACTTCATCTTCCCCTTCCTCACTCTCTTTTTCTGACTCCCGGTCATAATCAGACTCTGCATTGGCTGTGGTATACCTGTAAGTAAAAATTACAAATATAGAATTAAACATCACCACACGTAGTCAAAACAAGGTGCACAGCAAGCACTTTACAAACCAAGAGAAAATACAAACAATTGAATTGAGATAGGAACTGAATAGATGTCATAGGCGAAACCTTCCCTAATGTAAAAGTGTTCTCTACACCAGTGGTTCTCAAACTGCAGTCTGTGGGCCACTAGACTTCCAGGTGTCCATGGCTCAAGCTCAGCTCCTCTCTCCCCTGGAGCAGGGAGCCTGCCTTGCACTCCAGCCTCACCCTCCGTCCCCAACCCGTGAGGTTGGAGCACCAGCACTGGCTTCCCACTTGAGGGTGGGGGGGAAAAAAAAGCCCTGTAACTTGCTGCACTATCCAGCTTGTGGCTCCATGCACTGCTGCTCTCCCTCCCCCGGCTGGGGGAACAACAGCACACAGATGCACTGCTTGGAAACTTTCCCTGCTGCTCCCACTGGCCAGAACCTGGCCAATGGGAGCAAAGACAGGCTATGCCTAAGAAAGGGTGCCTGGGAGTGGGGCATGAAAGCAAGTTACCCTTTCCCTTCATGCCCAGAACCTGCATTCCCACCCACCTCACACACCTCCCCCCAGCTGAGACCGCTCACCCCCAGCCTGCTCCTGCACCCTTTCCCCAGGCCAGAAACCCCACCCCCTAGCCCTCTCCTGCACCCTCCCCATGACCAGACATCTTCCCCCATTCATTCTTCCAACCCCTCCCCCCATGTCAGACACCCGCCCGCTCCTGCACCCTCCCCCTGGCCAGGCACCCTACCCACAGCCTGCTCCTGCACTCACCCTTGTTCCTGCACCTTCCCTCCTGGCCAGACACTTTACCCCAATCCTGCTCCTGCACACTCCCTCCTGGCCACACACTCCCATCTAGACTTCACACCCTCACCCCCTCTGGCATCCCACCTCCTGCTCAAATCCTGCATCCCCATCCCTATCCCACTTGCTGGCAGCCCTGTCCCGCACAATGAATCCCCCATTTTTGTCCCTATTCCAGAGCCTAGGGAAGTCCACAAAATCCACTAACCTTGGATCTCCAAAAGAGTAAATCTGACCTCTGGGAAGCCCTGAACCTCAGTCCTATCCTGTCCCTCCCTCCACTTTTCTGGTGCTCCAGCCCTGAAGTGTGAGGGTTGGGTGTTTTTGGATGGTGTGTGTTTGGTGTTTTTTTGTTTGAACATCCCTGTGGCTTCTCTATTTCTCTGCAGAAGCTTCAGGGTGTAGCCGAATTAGTCTGTTAGTATGTCTACACTACAGCATTAAATAGTTAATTCGAAATAGCTTATTTCGAAATAACATGTGTACACACAAAATGCATTTCAAAATACCATTTTGCTATTTTGAAATACTGCGTCCACACTGAACGGACACTGATTCGGATTTAAGGCTGGCCGGAACCAGATCAGGGTTAGGGCATCAGGTAAGGAGTGTCTTTGTGTGGCTATTGGCAGAGGCCTGCGCTTAATGGGACACTACCTCCCCTCCCTCCCAGGCAGCCGGTTCTCAGGTGTCCCTGCTTGCTTGCCTGCCTCGATGAGAGACAGCAAAGCATTTGTGTCTCAAAATGCTCTGGTTGCCCTCACTCGGGACAGCACAGCATTCTGCAACACGGAGCCAGAGCTGCCCCTGGGCACTCTGGTGCTTCTCGTGGGCGCGCTGCTGTGAGCCTGGCTGCACTTTCTGCAGGCTGCCATCCCGGAGGTCCATCGTGGAGGCTGTCAGTATCCAACAGGCCCTGCAGGAGACCTTCCATCCTGAGGAGCACTAAGAGTCTCCTTGGTGTGCCCAACTGGGGGCTTGTGCCTCATTCCTCCCTCCTTCCACTTACCTCCCTAACCCCCCTTCCTGATGTCAAATAAAAGCACATTTCTTGCCAAAAACAAACTTTATTTATTGACCGAAACTGGGGTGGGAATGAAGGTGGGAGAGGGGAGGGGAAAACCTGGGAGGAGGGAGCTGGAAGTGGGAGGCAAGGGGAGGAAAGGGGGACATACCCATAGAGAGGAGTGTACACCTGTCAAGCACACACAGATTCTGGGTAAATGATCCCTAATCATCTTGACATAAAGTCTACCTTTTACATAAAATTGTCATTAAAGGGAGAAAATATCAGAATTCCAAAATGAATTTTATATTTTGTTTTTTCCCAAAATACTGATGGTAAAATTATTATTCTCTGTATGGTAAAGTGTTTTTGTTGTTGTTGTTGTTTTATATCTGATTTCAAATGCTAAGAAGATCCTTTGGTTTGACTTATTACATAGAGTTCCTGGAGAGTTTCACTATCTTAATAGGGCAAGTTACAATTGTCTTTCCCCTGCTCTTTTTATGTAAGCACTGTATTTATTAGCTGTATCATAAACTTTTTAAACTGCCAGTCTGTTCCATGTTTAATACCATGTAGCAAATAACTCAAGGTTCTAAAGGTTTCACAGAGGTAGCCATGTTAGTCTGCTTCAGCCAAAACAACCAGGTGTCCGGTGGCACTTTAAAGACTAACAAATTAGTATTAGAGCATAAGCTTTCATGAACTACAACTCACTTCCTCAGATGAGAGAGAGAAAGAAAGAGAGAAAGAAAGAGAGAGAGAAAGAGAGAGAGAAAGAGAGAGAGAGAGAAAGAGAGAAAGAAAGAAAGAAAGAAAGAAAAAGAAAGAAAGAAAGAAAAAGAAAGAAAGAAAAAGAAAGAAAGAAAGAAAGAAAGAAAGAAAGAAAGAAAGAAAGAAAGAAAGAAAGAAAGAAAGAAA